CCGATCATCATGGCTCTATAGGGTGACCTGATTGATGCACTTCTCTGATTGACGGCTCTGCATAAGTTGATAGTTATGGGTGCTGCATGGCCTTCAGCAGTCGATGCGCTCCAAAACCCCAAATCATCATCATCATCATCGGGGATGTTCGATTTCCGTGAGCCGTTTCGAGTTGAGTATCGGTACCAGCGGTCCATGATCTACCACCACATCAAAGTGCTGGCGGCAGGCCAGGTACGCGTGGTATTTACGGCATGCCCACAGGACAGCCAGACGCTCGAGCTCAATGACCGAGTAGCGTGACTCTGTGTCGGTCATAAACCGAGGCCCACACTGCATCATCTTGTCTGTATGTCGCTGCATGAGCGCGAAACCGAGGCCGCGAGTCCGAGAGGCGTCGGTGTGCAGCGCCGTCTGGGCGAGCGGGTCGAAGAAGGCCAGGATAGGCGGCGCCACCAGCGCATTCTTCACACTGGAATGCGTCTTCGTGTAGGACGGCCCACTTCACCACCATCTTCTGATCCAGCAGGTCTCGTAGAGGCTGAGCCAGGCTGGCGAGTTCCGACGAGAAGCCGCTCAACTGGTTTGTGAGTCCCATGAAGGACCGGAGGTCGGTCACATTCTCCGGCCGTGGGATCTTGGAGACCGCTCTCAGTTTGCCGTCATCCACCGTGTAGCCGTGCTCAGTGATGCGGTAACCACAGAAGTTCAGCGCATGTTGTGCAAACTGAAACTTTTTGCGGCTGAGTGTGATACCACGGTCGGCACATCTCTCGAGGACGGTAATCACGTGAGCCAAATGATCCCGGTAGGACGCGTCATAGGCCAGCACGTCATCGACGATCTTCACCGTCTGTGGAATATCCCCAAGTGCCTGATCTCCACGTCGGTTGTAGACGTCCATGGCGCTAATCAAGCCCATAGAACAGCGGATATACCGCATACGGCCGTACGGGGTGATGGATCATGTCAGGTCGTGACAGTGCTCCGCGATCTGGATTTGGTGATTCCCCATCTGGACTCCAGCGTGGTGAGCCACCGAGCATCGCCGGAGATAGCGGCTACGGCATCGTTGACGGGTCTGGCCGGATGCGTTGGTCGTTTCACGAACGTTTTGAGACGAGTTAGGTCCACAAAAAGTCGGACTCCACCACCTTTCTTGGCGGCTGGTTCTAGCGGATGCGTCCATTCTGTCGGATGTTTTACTGGCTCTATGATCCCTCGGCTTGTAGGTCGTCGAGCTGATTTTTGACGCCTTCCCGCCAGCACTACGGGATGGACCGAGCCGCGGTGATGGCAGATGGCTCAGCATCGTCCGTCAGCTCGATCTCCATGGGACCACCCGCCATCTCAGGCGGTGTCTGCTCGCCGTCGATCACACTTTGGAAATGTGATAGCAGCACGGCTTCATGCTCACGGACGACCTCCACTGGTGGATCGTGAGCATGTTCCCAAACAGGGAGTGACTTTGACAGACGGCTTGCTGGTTCGAGAGGTGACCGAGGCGCCGTCTGCCTCCCGCCAAGCGCGTCGGCTCTGGTGGGCGGGCCCACTCCAGCAGCGGCGGCCTGACACTTAGCCACCCGCGCGGGGATCTAAGCGCGGAAGTCGTCAGGTAGAATTCGCAGACAGACGCTGCCACTCCAGCTGAGCATAAACCCGAGCACCTCCTTTAGCACGTGTACGGTGGTGACGTTCTGACTGTCGCCCAGGGCCACCATCGCATCGAACTGTCCGACACAGGTGAGCGCGATGCGGCCAGCTGACGTGAATTTAGCGGTATCCACGACAGGCGTCATCATGCCGGCCGTGATGCCCAGAGATGCCGCCATGTCCGACCCCATGACAGTGGCCTCAGCTCCTGTGTCCGGTGTGCACGTCACCACTGTCTCTCCAGCGGGGTGCGAGAGACTGATCTCGATTCTCGGGGTGGGCCCGGCGGAGATGCTCTCCACACACATATCGGCCAGGACCAGCCGCACCCCGGCCCCTTCCGTGTCCATATCGGCCCGGTCGAGGCCTGCCGTCCCTCGCTGGCTTGTAATCTGGCGCTCCTAGACCCGCCCGTGCAGCCGACCGCCTGGGGCGGTCACCTGTGCGGCGGCCGGGTTTCTCTGTCGCGGGAGGTCGTCTGCTCCTGCTGTGGGTCGGTGCACACCACAGCGAAATGCCCCGTTTCGCAACAAGCATGACAGGCGACACTGGCCGCCGGGCAGCGTTCTCTGTTTGAGTGCTGTCTCCTTCCACAACGCGGACTCGTTTTGCGCTGCTGCTGCTCCTGCCGATAAGCAGATAACCTTCTCACAGTAACAGCTTCACCTCGCAGCACGGCACTGTTCCTAGTAGCCGTCTCACTACCACGACATATGTCCAAGGCTCGCTGCAGGTCTAGCTCCGGTTCCAGAAGCATGCACTTTAAAGCTCGTTCATCCTGTGTGTCAGACACGATTCTGTCCCTGAACTGCACGTCCTCACACGGGCTACAAAAGTCACAGTACGCCGCGATTTCCTTAATCGCACACAGGAAATCATCAAATGTTTCTCCCGGCTTCTGCTTCCGAGCATAAAACTCGCGCCGGTCCAGGATAACACTGCGCTGACCGCGTAGGTATCCCTCCATGGCGGTCAGCACGCCTCCGATGTCGGCCTCCGGTGCGATCTGGAGGTTATACCGCACGATCCTCGCCCAGTCATCGCCCAGCAACGACATTAATACTGCCCTCTGCCGTTCGACCGGTATTGAGCCGAGCCGGGTGAGCAGCCGATAATCGTGCATTTTCTACCGCCAATCTCCAAACTCCATAAGCGACGCCGCCGATACCAGGTACGGTGCGTGGATGGCGCCGGCTGGGAGACGTGCGGGTGCGGCAGCAGCTACTTAACTTTGCCTGCACGACTGCGTTGGCGTCGACCGGCGGTGGAGCTGCTGGGCGCTCCCGCGTCAGAGCACGCTCCAACATCGCCGTCAGTCGCGCGCCACGCTGCGTGGCCTCCTGTTGGGCCTGGAGCGGCCATCTCCGACTGCCGCTCGAGCAGCGCCGTTAGGCGCGCTACGTGCTCCTCACTGTCCTTCATGGCACGAGTCCGTCGCCACTCACTGCGACACGATCACACGCAATCACACGCTGAACACCCGTGTTATCATGGTCCTACCGACCGCGCCATGTTCGGCTTTAATGCATCTCACGTGGGCGCGTGTCGCGTGCGGGCGTGTGTATATTACTGCCTCTCACTCTAGCGCTAGACGCCGCGCCGTGGCGCTAGTGGCACCCGGCGCACATCATGTCAGATTGACACCAAACCAAACTGGCACTGCCTACGTGCTTGCCATCTACAATTGCACTTCTAGCGTGGCAACGAGAAGCGGATCTTTTGTAACATGGCATGCAACTTGACAGGAACTTCAGTCTAAAGAACCCTATCTAGGCTGTTTTCAAACCCTGTGAAAGCCTATACGGCCTTATAGTTTTCCAACATGCGCTTTCGTTGCGAGTCATGGTTGATAAATGAATACTAAAAAATTGTCAGCATTTTTAAAAGCTGATTATTTAGGATTTTCCATGGCCCTAATTCGCTGGCCCTCTCGCCAGGTGACTTGTGCGGCAGGCCGCCTCAGAACCTCAGCACGGCCGCCCGGCCAGTCGTCGATGCTACCTTACTTTACACGTTTGAAACCTCGTTGATGAAGTCATTGCGGCCATACCTGACACTGTGCAGCGACAAATCTGCAAAACTGAAACTTTTAGCCCCGCCGTACTGGAGATCGGCTATCTGATGGTCGCGGTTGCGTTACCGAGCCGTCGAACCGGTGCGGCGTCGCAGCGCATGGTTTCAAACGGACGACACCCGTCGATCGCGCATCTACCGTTGACTCGATCGATTAACCAAATCTGCACAGGCTGCCGGGCTTGTCTTGCAGCGTTACTTGCAATGACACTGCAGCACTGCTACCCAACAAGTTTGTCCCCACCCGCAGAGAACGATTATATCAAATCTTGAACAACACTGTGCTTGCTTACGTTCCGCCAACAAGCCGCTTCCTGTGAGGAATATTCAGTAACTAGATCGTATACAAATCATGTTGCAGGTGGCTGGTCCCGTTTTTTGACTATTTTGTGGTGCCACTAAAGCTGTTTTTCCATCACGCTTGGTTCAACTGGCAACATTCCAGCCATTTTTAACTTCCGCCGTACTTTGTGCACCACACGACTGCTGGCCAGCGGCATTAGCTACAGCGGCGTGTTAACCCATGCTAGACAAATCGACAACGCCAGACACACGACTTTCGGGTATCGTCTGTTTAAACCAAAGATCTCTGATGAAACGCACTCGGTCGGGCACGCAGAGACTGTTTAGATCATGTTTTAAACGATGCCATTCCTTGCTTACCGCACGCAAAAAACCGTAATTTCTAAAAACATTTGGGTGAGGGAGGAGGCCAACTTGATCATCGTCAAAGGTTTTTCCAGACAGCTTCTGCGTCTTATGTTGTGAAAGGCTGCACTAGGTATGTACTGAAAATGAACAACAAAGTTTACAGTTAACCGTACACGGTGGTAGCAGAAGTAGTATACGGTTTCTGTTGGTTTCTAAAATGTGGCTAACCAATCACGTGTATCACCTGACCCTCGTGACCATGGTTACCAGCTATCGCGTGAGCTATGATCGAGCCCATCCGCCAGTGCTGGACGACGCTTTTGCTGACAAATTCAACGACACCGCTGAAACGGTGGTGTCTGAAGTGCGAGTGTATCATTTGGATACCGTTTTTGAATAGCATATTTGGGAGGCCGCTGCTGCAAAGCGCTATTCTCTGTAGAGCTCCTGACAAGGACTGCGTCACGGACCACATCAGCACCTGCATCGATGTTGAATGTGCTGAAGAGCTTGTGATCCCGTTATCAAGATACGGTATGCATCCGTAAGATCTGGAGTCTTCCGAAGACGTGGCAGCAGGCAAGCATTATTCTTCTGTTCAAGAAAGATGACACAAGTTCCGTAGAATTATTGGTCAGTGACCTTGCTTTATTTCTCTTGCACGGTGTTAGCGTCGCCTTTAACAAAATTTTTGACAAATGTCAAGCCCGCCAGCCGTGTGCACAGAACAGCATGGCTTATTCCTAGACAATCTGGCAGCACAAAGTATAGCGTGTGCGTTAAGGTAGCGTGAAAGGCAGCATCGGACAGGCAACAGACGAATCCCGTATACACGGACTATCGATCGCTTTTCCAATCGTTAATCATGCGCTTGCTACTCACAAACTAAAACAATCCAATCATGTACGAATTTCGCACCGAGATGATTCATCGCCACGGGCAGAGCCAGGATTTTTTAGGGGGGGGGGGGGGCGGAATTCAGTGACAGCTCGGTCAAGTGCAATGAGTGCAGTGAGCTCAATGCAATGAGTGATTTTCCGCGCGTTTTTCAAGCCGGCTGCCTTCTCTAGGCCTAGCCCATCCACGCTCTTCGGACGGGCGTCTTCACTGGGCGAGCCATACCCGGGGAGATACTGCCTGCAAAACTTCCCCAGGTGTGTGTAGTGAACTACTTCAAGCAAACATTACGTGAACGGCTGGTCTCAGCAGTCAATAGCGAACGATTATTGCTTCCTAGCAGTGACACGGGCAGCATGGTCTGAGAAGCTTCCAAGTCGTCTGAATCCGTGGGGCTAGCAAATTGCAAACTCTGACGGGGTCCTAATCCGCATAATTTCTTTTCAGTTTTCAAAGCACCGTAGTTGCGTTATCAGCTGCTTTCAAAGAGCGCGGATGCGTGGAAGACCCGGGGCAGTCGAGCTGACACATCGGGAAAACATGGTCGGTACACTTCAGGTCATTCCACTCTGCGAAGCGGGCGTGATTCCAAACGCCGCGATACCACATCTCCACGCAATTCTCGACGCCCGCCGTGTTGTCTGGCTGGCCCTGGGACCAGTGCGTTTCGCTGGCCGTCACCACACTTCCGTCAAAAGCTCGATATACGCCTTCCTCCTGGCGGTCTGTGATGCCCAGCCAGATCCGCTCGTGGCCGGCCAGCCCGGCCGCGCACAGGTTCTCATTGTTGGTGCGCGGCACGGCCAGGTGAGCCTGGCGCTCCGCGCAGTCCGCCGCAGCCTGGTCGTATGCTACGGCGGTGTCCAGGCGAGCGTAGCACTGGCCGGCGCAAGGCACGAAGCCATCCGGGCAAGGGTCCGCCAGGGTGAGGCCGGCCTGAGAGAGACACAGGACAACCGTAGCGGAAACTCGGTAAGGTAGCGGAAACACACACTACACCGAAACCGACGCTACAGTGTAGCCCTTCTTGGACAACGTCAAGCAGCTGGCGTTTTTGAATGACAATTTCGGGATTAGCTAGGTCTCAGAAAATAAAATTAGTTTATTAACGTTCTAACTGGCCAAATGTAGTCAGACAAAATGATAATTTGTACGAGATGTGACTGTCGCTCGACTTTGCAAGCTGGCGTTTTGTCACATTCGGCTTTGGACAGCCGACATTTCTCGATTGACCATTTTGGAAATAAGTATCCGGCAGAAGATAGTGACGAGTTAAGAAAGTTTTATTCTTCCGAATTCATCAATACAGAATGGAGCATGACATGACCTTTGTAAGAAATTACTTTCCATTTGTGGCAGCTGTGTCAGTTGATATTTCATATACACTTGGGTCATGGCTGTTTCCGAACATCTCCAGAATATGGGACCAAACATTGGCTAACCTGCAATGGTCTTCATCAAAGCCACCGGCATTACGCTGCGACATGCGGAATGACTATTCGAACGCCTAGCGCCCGGTGCAAGCGCTGCCCTAACGCAGATGATCCTTACTTATGTCCAGTCAATGCAGACTGAGGTGTGAAAGGATCGACGAGGCGGCTGCCCGACTCACCTCAGCGATGGCCCTGGTGATCGCTTTCTTGATGGAACGTTCTGTTCTAAATCTGCTGCAGCTTGCCTCGATCCCCGTCAGACAGATCACCACCAGCAGCGGGGTATACCGTCTGTAGCCGAGCAGCATCCTGTTTTCGCTGGCTGAGCAGAGACCGATAACCGATGACCGCTGTGAAGGCGAGGCAGACCGACAAGCGACTGTGGCGACGGCAGAATCCGACGCGGCTTATAAGGCGGGATGCTTCCAACTGTTGATATGCCGACAGCGGCGCCGTTCCAGAGCCGTCCCTCAGATAACTGCAGGAATGCGTGTCTGTCGTTGGGATGAAGTGGCGGGGTCGTACAGAGCGTCGCAAGAGCATCACTTTTGGTTTGGAAGCCGCGTTCTCAGCACTGGTGAACCGAATGGCCGTTTGCACGAAGCTTTATACTGCAAAACGTTTTACAGCTTTTCAAGAACTTTCCTAACCACAGCCACTTCCCCTAGCTCGTTTCCTAACCACACACCCCTTATCAGTGACTTTCGGCGACAAATTTGTTGCATGGACTTGGACACATGTCTGTAAACACGTGTAATTTGACAGAATTGTAGCGGTAGCCAGCTGACTATAAACAAGATCGCCATTTTATGGAAGGCATTTTACCAGATATCTTCCTTCCGATACATTTAAAAGCTTATAAACAGCATTTGGTGGCATCTTTGACACAGACACGACAAAACAAATTCCTATATCTTTGTCGTGTCCCTGTGCTCAGGTATGCAGTACTTACAGAGCTCCTTACAGTACTTACAAAGTTTACTTACAGCATGTAAGCTGCTCAGTGCATTCGCGAAGAACATTTTCACATAGATAAGACGGCAGCAATGGCCCTATTCCTCGGAGAAAACCAGGAGAATGGAGAAATAGATTGGATGATATTTCGGCAACATGCCCTTATCGAAACAATAACAGAAGTGCCTCAGCATTCATGCTATGGTATAAACGGCACTTTGACTTCTGCTATCGCTTTTTTAATACGCATGCAACACGTCCTCAAACGTAGACCACGCCACTAGACCAGCACCGTTTTTTTTCGCGTGATGGTGTCACGGACACGTTCTATACGCATATGGAAGGGCATGGGCTCCGTGTGTGCCATGGCATCTTAACGTTCCCAGCATACCAGGCAGCATGAAACGAATCGACTCAAAAGTTAGTTTTGTCCCTTTCCATACACACACATTTTTGAGACGCTCACTAGTCTCATATAATCTGAAAGCAAACGACAGCCGGTGTTTCAAACAAAGGATAAAGAATCAAACCACGGAAATAATTACCGGTTAGCCGTCCTGAGTCGTGCGCTGCACACCTGGAGCAAATTGTTTGGTTGTAAATTTGCGTGGAAAGTTGTGTATAAAGGATGCTCACGACTAATTATCCCATTTTTCGCAGAGAAAAAGCAACAGCAGTGCCCTTGAGTCTCCCCGCACTGAACAACACACATCCAATTTGAAGAGCTATTTGTGTTCCGCATCATTAGCATATGCTATGCATAGGCATATGCATATGCATACTACAGCTCACAGATGAGCCACGATTCATAACTATCTGCCCTATTGCTGGATGTATCACAGCCTTAACCACGTGCCAACATCCTGCTGCTCGAACCACACTAAGACACAGGGGCGGGGGGACGGGAGCGTGATAAGGGAACCTCTGTCTGGACCCTGGCTGAGGGAGGGGGGGGGCATTGATGTCAAAAGTTGCCCTTATTTGTGCGGCAGTTCTTCCTACCCCCCGTCCTCCCTCCCCGATTCATTTTTTATGCTTGGGTGCAAACCAGTGATATGAAAATACACATGAAACTATACATGGTGGCAAGGCAAAGGGGAGTAATACAATGATTCAGCGAATAGGTATCTAAGCCGGCCCCTTGAACTACTCGTCTTGGATGTTTAGACTAGACTCAATGTCTTATATTTATGTGCGACTTAGAGGGCATTTGCTATTTGCATCCCTGGTTGTGATTGTCATGATATATTCATGGACCTTGTGTGCTTGACCCTCTTTCTGTAAAGTTAGTGATTTATCTAGGGGTAGACCCCCTCCATCCAGCTCACTCTCCTCGACGCTCCCTTGGCAACAGCAATGGTTTCAAGAATTCCAAAGACAAAGTTACCTGTTGCCCCCCCCCCCCCACCCCACCCCACCCCCTAACCCCCTGGCGCACCAGATAGCCTCGCTCATCCATGCGCTGACCAAGTTGTGACGATACCTATTTATGACGACGTTGACCAAGATTCGACAAATGGCTGCATGCATTCAGATTTCCCTCGTGTGCTGAATTGCCTTGTCCAAGTATATAGTTTTGAATATAGAGGTCAAAATTGCATTGTGTTACAAAAACAACAAATTACGTGCATAAGACACCCTTGAACATAATTTCTAACAACAAGAGGTATTTGTCGTTCTCACTGAGAATAATCGACGATCGCAAAAAAAAACATGATTGTTTGCGGTGCGATGGCATTTGAAGCTTCTGATATGCAATAGCTGATTCTGACAGTAAGAAGAAGTCGTCAGTGAACTTAACGTCGGATGTCGGGATCGCTTATAAGACTCGGTAGGCGGAGGAATTTTTTTGTTGGTGGTATTTTGTTGGCAAGGAGCGGCGATAATCTTTCGTTATTCAACTGGCCTCTGCTTCTGGACCAGATTGCGGCTGAGAGGGCTGGCGTTCTGTCCAAACAACCACGGCGTCTTGTGGGCGTCACTGCGCGGTCAGCACCAAATATTCCTGCCCATGGAGACACCGGACACACTGACGTCATTCCCAAAGACTCGGCCAGGCACGCTCCAACATCTGCAACAGATCAAAGTCATATTGCGGGCTGGAACGCACAGTCTCTGTGTTGACCGTGGAGAGCTTAGGAGAGCTCTATAAGTGGAGTTAAAAGTCTGCTTTTTCGTAGAAAACCACGTATTAGAGACAACATCGCGCAAAAAGTATTATAGTCTTTTATAAAAAAAAGTTTTGCTTAGTTATCGAATGTCTGTTTTGTTACATAGTCTAATGCTAAGTTATCAAATGTGTGTTCTTATTACATAGCAGTATGTTAATCCATGAACTGTATACATGAGTGCACAGGGGAGGGGGGGGGGGCAAGGGGTCACGGTCCACCCCCACTTTTTAAGGTGGTGGAGCCCTGGCTCCCGGGCCAAGACATACCAATTTGCCTAGTTCTCCAGCCATCTTCCTCAAGATGTGTCATCTTTTTTTTCGCTTATTGGCCTTCGCTAAGGGTCACAGCCACAGGCCAAAGCCGCGCGGGCCACGGAGACCGCAACGCCGGGCGAGGCTGTTGCCATGCTTTGCGAACACGCATGTTCAACACCACATTGCACAGCTTTTTATCAAGAATAAATTCTGGCTGAGTATTGACCATTCTAAGACGAACATGGACAAGCCATGTTAATAAAAATGTAGGAACCCTTTTCATCTGCAGTCTACGTTCGGGGGGTCCCCGATATTTCTGAAGAACGTGGGAAAACATGGAATTGTGACAATTATTGGCCACCTGTGGCGATCAGGCATGTTGCTGTGCCAATGAGGATTCCTATGCTGGTCCGGGGTCAACTGCGCGCGTCAGAAGGCCTCCCGTGTCAGAGAGGGAAACAGTATGGTGACATATCCTTATAATGACCTCCGGATCGACCAGGAAGTCCTGCCCTGTGTCGCCAGAATGACAGCCAGAAAATACTTCGCGATGGGACGGAGTGACCCTTCAGCCCTTGACCGGAACCGGTAATGTGCCCCCGATGTTCTACTCAAGGGGCGCCTTGCTCGGAAGAAGATAAGGGGTCTCATTATTGTTGAGCGGAGTGGGGTTCCGATTATTGTTAAAAAGAGCGGGCCGAAATTAATTTTAAAAGCAACGAACAAGGTCATCCCATGTTTGCATGAAAGCGTTCACTTTTTCGGAACGGATTGGTAAAAAATTCAATCAAAAGGCTTGAACATGCTCGCCCGCAACCTCGAGAGCAAGGACAGCGATGACCTGGGTTGCAGATTTCGTAAAACCAAACGGCGTCGGCCACTGAAAGTATTACCAGATGGCATGCGCCGTGTTAATCTATCTTCTAAGCAGCTTTGAAAAATATATGTTTTTTTACTCTTCCAGCTCCACCACCAGATTCCAGCACTACTTCGCGATACTTTAAGAGCTTATCCGTTCTTATCATCGGTCTAAAAATCGCACACGTAAAATATGCGCCCAGACTGCCTTCTAAATGTAAGATTTGATGCTCTGCAGCGTTCAAAGGTACTTCTTTCAGAAGTGTCATCATTTTTGTCCACCCGTTGGCCACGGCTCAGAATTAACTGCTGGGTCAATGTCGGGCGAACTACGGAGACTGCATTGCCTAGCGTCACATTTTTATTGCTAAGATTTGCGAGCGCGCAAGTTAAAAAGTCACGTTACATAAATTGTGCTACCCCTCAATTCTCACTTAATGCTAAAAATTTCCAAACAAACATGGCTTGATGATGTTAATACATATTATTGACCACTCGATCTACAGTCAAATTTTCATCATCAAAATTCGATCAAACATATCGTTCTGTAGTCAACCTTCGTGATGTCCTAATTGTCTGTAAAACCCATATTGCAAATTCTGACTAAACTTCTGCATTCTGTCGGTTTATAAAGAGCCCACTAAGCCCATTAAAGCCTACAGCTCATTACGGGCACCGGTGGTCCATTCATTCGGCTTTTTCCATTCCACATCCATTCCATCGGTCGTTCGACGCCGGATTTCTGCAGCTCATTGACTTCCAAATGCAAACAGAAGTGATCTCACTTACCTGCTGGTTCCTGTTCTGGTTGCAAGGCAAAAATAACAATGAAACGAAGAAAGCCGTGTCCCATGCTAAGAAGCATGCCAAATCCGGGGATTTTTAGGGGTCACCATAAGAGGGGTATTTGTCAACCCTGTGCTCACCCATAGCAAGGCTCTGGCTACCCAGCTGCCTACACATAAAAGCACAGGAAGTCGTCAACGTTAAAGTACGGGCAATTAAAAATCCGTTGGGACAATTCATACTTCAGGCAGGCAGCTTCCCGGAGTCTTTTCTTTCTGAAATGGTGTGGTGTAAGGGAAAGTTCGGAAAAAGGTACTGTTGCAGGTGTCCAACATGTTTTACACACCAATA